AGAGGTCGAGCACGTAGGGCGGCAGGGACCCGGCGAGTTTCATCGCCTTGAACTTCTCGGCCTTGCCCTTGTCCCGCTTGGCCTCCTTGTTGCGGGCACCATCCTCCTGGCCGGAGGCCGCATCTTCCTCGAAGATATTTTCAGTCTCCATTGAGCCCTTCTTCACAGTGTTCACGGATTCCTGCAACGAGGCGGCAGCCGGCCTCTTCTTGGCAGCCTTTCCAGAGGCTCCCTTGCCCTTGCTAAGCTGTGTCTTCTTCTTCCCGACGATCATGTTCTTGACATTCTTGACCTTGGTCACGGCCACTTCGGCACCATTCGGCTTGCTGCTGCTGGAGCGAGCCGCGGGCTTCCTCAAAACGGCCATGATTCTTCTTCTCGAAGAATGTCACTGTAGGACCGGACACGGAAGGAAGGCAGGTGCAGCCTGTCGGTGCAAAGCAAAAGCTATATGCAGGCACGAAATGTATTCGTCAATTGGGGCCAGCAACCTACAAAGTGATGTCCATGGTTCTTTGGAACTCGGGTTTCTGAATCCGAATAGTTCAACAAACTTAGCACAAACTGTCGATACACGAGCACGAAATCTATAAGTACAAACCAGAACTTTACTCGAAACTTCCTCGAAACTTCGACCTAGCAACTCGAACTTTACTCGAAGTTTCCTCGAAACTTCGAGTTAGCAACTCGAAGTTTAACTCGAAGTTTGAAAGGGGCTAACTCGAAGTTTCTATATGTACATGTTACAAAACCCAGGTAAATGACACATCGCAACTCGAAGTTTCGAGTTAGGCCTCTTAAACTTCGACCAAACTTCGAACAACCTAACTCGAAGTTTCGAGGAAACTTCGAGTAAACTTCGAGTTAGCAACTCGAAGTTTCGAGGAAACTTCGAGTAAAGTTCGGGTTGGTTCTTCGAAGTTTCGATGGGATTTCGGGTAGGTTTCTGTCTTGGTACCTCTAGTCTTTTGTGAATTTAAGTATTAAGCCATTGAGCGAATCGTAGGTGTCGTTCGACGAAACAACTCGGAATGTGCATGCCCGGACACCGAACTAGTGCTGCAAAACTCTCAAGTAAACTCTCAGAAGCACAAGAAGTCATGGTATTATGTGCATGCCCGGACACCGAAACATGTCTCATCTGACTGCTCTCTCAGCAACAAAAAACCCTCAGAAGCACAGGCATCCATCTCAACTTTTTTCCTCGTCGTGGCTCGCCACCACGGATCACAGATGTGATCTGCTAAGGTCTTTGCACTGCAGGAACCACGTCGTTCATACATAATCATAGCAGACCCATCAAATAAATAACCAATGATGATACCACAGCCCTCGGCAACCGGCGATCCTCACCTCCTTGGGTTTTCTGCATCGAAAGCCTGTCCGGCCTTCTTGTGTGCGGCCTTGGCCTCGGCTCGGGCAGCAGCGATCATCTCAGCATTCTCCTTGTCCTCGCCTCGGGGACGGTTCGCTTCCCATGCTTTGTGATAAGCTTTGCTGACCACTTTGTGTCGCCACTGTGATCGTGTGAGATCCGGCTCGACCTCCACGTCATTCTCCCACGGCTCCTCCTCTTCGCCGCCGCCGCCCTCTTGGTCACCTTCTCCCCACCACCAGGACTCGGAAGCATGAACATCCACTGGTTCGGCCGTAACCTGCCACAACAGCTCAGAATTCTTGGTTTTAGGTTCATCATAAGGGGTTATTATTGTGATTGGGTTTAGGGGTGTAGGTTTCGGGGTTGAGGGTTTAGGCATTCTAGGCTGTTGTCGAGTTGTTTAAGGAGAGCTCAGAAGGATAATGATAGTTGTTATGTTTGGGAAATAAAAATTCGGCGCTTTTCACTCAAAAAGTTGGCAACCCCAGCAACATAAACAAACCAAGCCTAGCAACTTGCTGACTGTCAGCCCCCTCGTCGCCGCCCCAGTGCTGCTGGGACTTCTTCGCCTTCTTGTTCCTGATCTCCCCGGTCGCTGCCCCACGAGAGCCATCACCATCAGCACCATGACCCGCCGAAGCCGTGTTGCCCTTCTTCTTCTTCTCCTTCAAAATCGAAGCTGGCATCGCTGGCTCTTCCGGCTTCTTCTTGTCGTCTGTCTTCTTCTTGAGCTTCTTCTCGTCCTTCTTCCCCGGCACCGACGATGATGAGGGAGTCTCGCCCGGATTCTTTTGGGTCTTCTTCTTCAGCTTCTTCTCCTCCGTGTTCTCCGGAGCCTTCTTCTTCTGCTTCTGATTGGCAGCTGGCTTCTTAGCCGGCTTCTTGTTCACCTTGGGGCTGCTCGCATTGTAGATCTTCCGCAACGTCTTCTTCTCGTCCTGGTTCACAGGTTTCGCCTTCGAGCGAAGTCCTGCCAGCAATCCCTTCTCCGAATCGTCCAAAAGGTCCGTAGTCTCCATGGCAGCACCAGCTGCTCGCTTTTTCTCGCTGGATGATGCCTTCTTGTCCCAGAATTGAATACTATTATCAAACAAACCACAGCACCACAATGCAAAGTAGGTTCATGCCCGCAGTCTCTGTAGTCTACACTCGAGGCAGTGGACACCACTCACAGGCTCAGAATCCCTCACAGTTCGGTGAGCAACAAGTTTTATGCAGCAGAGCTCAAAATACTACAAGAACTTATCGCTCGCAGCACGAAAGGAGAACTCAGAATACTACACGAACCTATCGCTCGCAGCACGAAAGGAGAGCTCAAAATACTACAAGAACTTATCCCTCGCAGCACGAAAGGAGAGCTCAAAATACTACACGAACCTATCGCTCGCAGCACGAAAGGAGAGCTCAAAATACTACAGGAACTTATCGCTCGCAGCACGAAAGGAGAGCTCAAAATACTACACGAACCTATCGCTCGCAGCACGAAAGGATAGCTCAAAATGCTACAGGAACCGATTATCGCTCGCAGCACGAAAGCAGAGCTCTCAAGATACTACTACAACAACCTGTCGCTTCTCACGGGATAACGAACATATTATTGTAAAGATGATGCCAAGACATCATTGTTGAAGCAAGTAAGCCCACTAAAAAATGCAAACAACACAACATCAGCATGGATAGACACCGACACGGCCAGCCTTCGGCTTCTTCTTCTTCTTCTGCTTTCCGGCGGTGGCGCCAGCAGTAGACGGCTCCGATGGCGAAGCTGGCAGGTCCTCGTCGAGCTCCTCGATGAGCGGCCCTGTTTTTGCATCACCACCCGCAGTGGCTGCACTGCTTGTTGCCCCCAAGGACAACTCCTTCTTCAGGCTTTTTCCCTTCTTTCTCCCAGGAACCAGTAGCTTCAACCCTGGCACAGCAAAGCCGCCTTCCTCGCTGATCTCCTCGCCAGAGGAGCCGATGTCCTTCTTCTCGTCCTCGGAGCTCTCGTGCTGCAACACGTTTCGAAAAACAGCCATCGGATCAGTGTTACCCAAACCAGCATCATCAGCAGCATCGTCAGCCTGCTCGGCCCGGCCCTCGCCCGTAGTAGCAACAACAGCACCGCCCTCACCACCACTGCTGCCGCCGCCGCTCAGAGCACTGCCGAAGGAGTTCTGGTGCTCCAAGGACAACGAGGCATTTCCACGTCTCAAAGGAGGAGCGGCGGCCGGAGCATCTTCCTCGATCTGGATCTTGGTCAAGATGCGGTAGATGACCCTCATCTCGTTTTGGCTGGCCTTTCGGCTTGCCCGCTCCAGCACCGCTTTGTCGGTCTTCAAAGTCCGGAGGTGAGCAAGCCCCATCCTGATGTGGTCGCTGACCTGGTCCATGAAGCTGGCATCTTCGAGCTTGGTCTCATTGATTTTGCCACGGGAGTGGGCAATTTCCAGGGCTCGCTTCAGCTTCTTGTCGGTGACGACTGCATTCCGTGCCTTCTCGAGAAAAAGCCCGTAAAGCCTTTCCAGCCGGACCAACCAGGTCACAGGAACGGCGCTTTTCCACCCTACCGTCGCCGGCGGGGCGATGAGCTTATGCAAATTTCGGGAGCACATCTCTTTCATATATTGCTCCAAAGGCTCTGCCAGGTCTTCGGCAGACACGGTCGGATCAGCTCTTGTTCGCCGACCCACAGAAGCAGCTGCCTCGGCAGCCATTGTCGCCACAGCGACGAAGAAAAGCACTACTCTACTATTGTGCGAACATGGTGATCATTACTTCAGCTGCCGATCTTAGCAGGATCTTTGCTTTCCTCTGCAGCTTATGTTGTGAGGTCTTCCTGGCCTTTAGAAAGCTGTAGTCTCAACAGCTGCTCTGAATCAACTTTGTCCTCGCACGGTACTTACTACTCTAACAAAGACTCGGAAGGGCATCGACACTCTCAGGGTACCTCTCAAAGCATCTCTCACAAGATACTGTTCGGGACTGTTAACCCGACACTCTCATGGTATCTCTCAAAGCATCTGTCAAAGTATGAGCTCTGGCAAGATACTGTTAGGTACTGTGGAGGCTTCAGACATCTATTTCTTGCAAGCAACCAAGGACAAGAACAACAAGAGCAGGACTTGACGACTCTCTACTCGGACCCTTCTTGAGCGCTGAAAGACTTTCTTCTGCCTCGGCGACAAACAGTTGTCGTGAAGTCAGCATTCCTCCCAGATCTTCGTGAAGAAAGAAGCCCAATGCTTTCATGAGCTTTCCTGGAAGATCAAGTTCAGAGCCAGGCGATAATGTCTGAACATCTTGTTGACCGCATACGGCCCCACGTTCCCTTTGAGACTCATCGAAGCTACTCGCTGGAGTTTTTGTTGGAGGTCCTCTCCAACAAAGCGCCATACCTCCAGATGATTGCAGAATCTTCTACGTGTGTTTAGGAGCTTGTGTTAAAAAACAGTTTTCCTGCTACCATGCTTTCGGGGCTCTTCGCAAAATTAGGTTTTCACAACCCTTTAGTATTATTGTGCTGGAAACTAGGAAGACAGAACGAAAATGCTTATGATGCTCGTCTGCAAACAAGGATCTGCCCTTGGGCTCAAACATTTGCTCAACAATGTAGCATGTTGAAGCATGTGCGATTTGCTTGTCAAAGCAAAGTAGAGCATCCCTCCGAAGCGAAGTGCAAAGCCAGCTGGCTGTGCACCAGCAGCATATCGCTGCATGCCTGTTGAAACAGAGCAGCTGTGCCATCATCGAAAAAAAGCTCCCCCTTGTGCTCCGTGAGCATCCTTTCCATGAAGACGTTCTGCTTCAAGAGGAGTGTGACCTGCTTGTGTATGAGCAGCTCGTCGTTGCAATATGTTGTCCATAGTGCCAAAAGGACCTCGCCAAAGTATCTAAGTTCGCCAGCCTTGCCTCTGAGCTTGGGCCCACCAGTCCGACGAGTAAAAATTGTCAAACGGCCCATGGACCTGTACCTGACAGGAGTCTGATGGACTCTGCAAAATTCGCGAATGAATCGCCAACAAGCCGCGAGGTTGAGCTCTGGACTGCCCTCCAGCATGACGTCGTAGCAAAGGAGAGATAGCACACTGCCAAATTGCACCTGGTCCGTGCCCAGGTACTTTGAGTGCATGTAATCACAAGCGATTTGCAAAGCAGACACTCCAGGTATCGAAAAGATCGGATTCCGGCTTCGATCTGCCCATGCATGCCATGTGTGCGGTCGCCACAAGCTTGCTCGCCACGGAGCTGTAGAGCCAAAGTTGGACCACGTCAGGTCGCCGCTTAAGTTTGCCTTGCATAGGGGGCACGGCATTGAAGCATTGTTATAGTTGGGCAACTGCAAAATTTGCGTGAAGTAGTCGAGGTCCCCAATGAGGGACCAGACCACACCGTAGAATCCATTTGCCAGTGCTGAGCCGGCTCGCTCGGCCTGCACGGTGCCTTCTGGAAACCTGTTCTTTTCATTCATGGTTCATTCTTTTATGGGCTCATGTCAACGATTACCCGTCAGACTATCTTTAATTATTGTGGGCTTCTAGACAGAATGATTTTCGCAAACACAACAACTCCTACTCAAAAACTTGCGTTTTCTTTTATGTCTGTCTTATATAGTGAACATCTTAGCAAAAGAAAACAATGTTGAGTCCATCCTGCCTTCGGCCCTCGTGGTCTCTCGTCGGCCAGTACCCATGCCAAAGAGCAGTCAAAGACCAGGCAAAGATCTTCCAGAGCTGCTGCATGGTAGCTCTGGGTCCATCCTTGATACCAGTTTTCTCGATCAGTCCGAAGGCCCAGTATTGTATCGACTTGGTTGAGGTCTCGCCCAACAAGCTCGACCATGACACATTCAGAAGCTTCTTGCTCCATTGCTTCCCAATCCCAGCAATGGGTACTTCATCGCCATGCACGGCGAGGGGGATCGCCCCCCTCAAGTCGCGAGCCTGGACTGGATGTCCCTCCCAAGCAGGGTGAGGAACCGTTCGCATACGATCCCAGAATTCCATACGTGCTTCTTCGTCGCCACAAACGTTGCGAACAAAAGCTTCTCCATGATTTTCGTACATAGAATTGAACAGTTCGTGCGGCAGTAACAGCTCTTGTGTATGTTCACCGGGAGGGTTGGCGAAGGAGAGCTTGGCCTTGTAAGAATCAGCCATATTGATTCTTGGATCCACCTTCCGCATAAGGTCGCCGTAGCACTTGCCGCTGAACTTTCCAAAGGACCCGATGGATGCCAGCACTGTAAGCTCCTCAAGGCAAGGACCAGCCGCTGCACTCGCAGAGACACCGTGCTCTTCTTGCAGAGTTGTAAGCACGTCTTTCCTGGCCGCATCGGCAAACTTCTGCAGAAGCTGTGGGCTCATGTTGCCCCATGCGAAAAGATCCAACAGCTCGCGACCCAAACAGCTGTTGGGACACAGCGACTTAATGACATCTGCATCATGGTCTGGGGGCCCACCATCATCACCACCATCGTCCCGCTCACCATCTGACTCAGAATCTGTAGCGATTCCCTCTTGGTAAGGAGCAGGTCTGTCGGCTCCAGCTGCACGTAGTCGTTGCTGAATGCCACCTCGACAAACTTTCCTCCTTCGACCGCCAGCAGAGGAGGCAGAAAAAGACCTCTTGGGCCGCCCCAAGGTACTGCCCCTTCCAGCCATGAAAGCCCTTCAACGAACCTTTTTGGCCATTGTTGGGCACACGGGGAAGAAGTCCTGCTTATTATTTAGTTCTACTTGCTTATCCACTTGTTATCTGGTTTGGGGTCGGTTGTAGCGGTGGTCGTGGTGTTGGGGTGCTAGTGCTGCTGCTGCTGCTGCTGCTGCTGCCATGAAAGTCACTAATAATAATAATGATTGTTCATCTAGAACTAGAACCACGGTTTTATCATACTGCCAGTGCTGCTGCTAGTGGTCCTCATCAGGCTGATTGATATAGAATGGTATCAAAGTAATGTTCCCTTCCCTTGTCTGCTGCTTTTGCCAATGGTCTGCAGACCTGCAGTGCAAAAATAATAATGGTGCCATCGCTGCAGGTCGTTGATTCCTGTGTTCTGCTGGTCTTCTCTCGTGCTCTCAAAGAAACCCTCTCAGAAAAGTCGCAAGGGTAGGGTCTTCATTGGAAAGTTGTTTTTGTTTATTATTATTATTACAAATAACATGTATTCCCTGCTAGTCTCCGATACCTCAGACAAGCCCCATGATTAAATGTTAGTGTTCTCTTTGCTTTCAGAATAGGTTGATGGCTTCTTGTGTTTGGGTATTCGAGTGTGTCTCCAGATTTTCACTCAGCAACTTTACATATCTTGAGGACAACAGTATCGGCTCGCTGCTGCAACACAAGGTCCAGTAATCATGGCGGAATATTTAGAAGTAGTTTGGCGGCTTTTGTGGCTAAAGGGAGCAGTTTTTGGTAGCTTTGCTATTCTCATCAAGATCTTGCATCGAGTCCTCCTTAACCCAAAAAAGCGCCGATTTCCACCCAGGACCCTTGTTTTACTTGAGGTCCCCCCCCCCTCCCCCCAACCATCAAAGAAGAACCTCAACAAAGGCCCTGCATTCTTGGGCTTCTGCAGACATGCAGTGTATTATTATGCATGACGATGCCACCGCTACAGGTCTCTGATTCCTCTCTTCTGATGGTCTCTGGTGTTGCTCTCAAAGAGTATCCCTCCTAGATAAGTGGCACAGGTTCTTATAATAATATGTATTCTCTGCTAATCTCCGATACCTCGGACAAGTTTCATATCTAGTCGTTGGTTAGTTGTCTCTTTTGCTCTCAGAGAAGGCCTTTCAAAGTAGCTTCATGCTTTTTGTTTGTATCGTTATGCCGTTATGCAAGCCCTCGTGCATAATAGTATCAAAAATATTTCTTTGTGTATCTGAGTCTATCTAAATAATTCGATATATTATGATATCCACACGTACCCCTCTTCTGCTTTCTAAAACAACTGAACATGCTCATCACTCTCGTCAAGTTGACATAGCAAGCTTGATGACAACAACAGCACGATATTATGTACAACAGCTTGTCAACATCAACAACACCGAACACTTGAAGACCCGACACTGTCGCTGACGGCTTTGTGCTTTGTTTTCTCGCAAAACAGCTGGACTTGTGCTGGTGCACGAAAGGATGCTGGTAGTAGCGTCGCACTCCTCAGCGACATTGTGCATGCCGAGGTGCACATGAATGCCGATACATACGGCCCCGCCAAACCGGCAAGGCTGATGATTCCCAGGCATCCATAATGCAGGCCCGAATGGCCGACTGTCGAGAAGCCAGCTGCAATGAATAGTGATTGCTCCAGTTTCGCTTGCAAGCTAAGAATCTGTAGAAATGAACATAATAAGACTAATAATAAGAAATAGTGGTCCAAGGCTTTGAATCCCAGCCGGCACTAACTCAACACATCGTCCACCCGGGTTGCACATACACGAAGTGCCAGGAGCTCGATGCAACATGATCGTGTTGTTGCTGCACTGCATGCTGGCATAGCCATGATATTGGAGCAAAGGCGAGCCTATTTTGCCGGGGATTAGGGTTCGTGACTAGTGACTAGTAAGTAGTCCAGCAGCAATACAGCATGCACGATCGGGAAAACGTGGCGATGGTGCTCACACCACCGCCGCCTTGGCTGTCTTTGCCAAGGCCTTCCCTGCATTCACAGCTTCGTTGTGGGCGAGGGTCTTCTGAGCCACCTCCTTGATGAATGTCTCGAAGGATTGCTTGCAAATGGTTTCACCACCCGGCATTTCCTTGAAGGACATCACGTGGCGAAGGTCGCTCAGGATCTTCTGAGCATGCATGTAGCAAGCCTTCAGGTTCTTCCATTCGTTGGAATCCTCGCCAATCCTTGATAAGCACCGCCAATATAATATGCCAGGATACTTTGAGGGCTATTTTGAGGGCTACTTTGAGGGCTACTTTGAGGGATACTTTGAGGGATACTTTGAGGTCTACTTTGAGGGATACTTTGAGGGATATTGGGAGTGATACCTTTTTGTCTGATTATACCTTTCTAGGGGCTAACATTACTCCGAGGGATACCAAGGGTGCCGAGGGATAATACAATGATGCCTTTGAGGATATATGGCGAATTTCATGTAGCGTCCGTGGTGTGTTGTGTGTGCATGCTTTTGAACACTATATGCTGCATGTGTTAACAAGCTCTGACAAAAAAACTGAATACAAAAGGAGACCCAGAAACTTCTTGAGCAGCTTCATGCTCTCGTTCGAAAGGCGGATGGTGGCCTGAAGCGAGGTCTCGAGGAGCGAAACCATCTGCTCCTCCCCGGCTGAATCTTCGAAGGGTCCAAGGTCTGAAAGTCCACCGACCACTGCAAGGTGTTGAACAAGTCCTCCAATTGGGCCGCCTGTTGCTGTGTTCCTCGCCTCTGCTTCTTGTAGCCCAAATCGGTTTCACAACCTCTCTCCGTCCCCGTGACCGCCTTCCGGAAGGTATACATGGTGATGCCCTCCTCGGTCTTGACCTCCTGGATTTGGCCGGCGGCCATCGCCTGCAGCAAAACCACCACGATAGCGACAACACAAGAGTTCAAAAATAGGCTTCAAATATATTTGTAGTAGTAGTAGAAGAAGTAGTAGTAGTAGTATATAGTAGTACTAGTACTACTAGTACTAGTAGTACTAATGGTACCAGTAGTACTAGTATAATAATCAGACCCCAAGGCATCACTCCCAATATCCTTCAACACCAGCAACAACAACAAGAACAGCAACAACAAAACTAAAACAGCAACTGAGGGCTACTTTGAGGGATACTTTGAGGGATTCTTTGAGGGCTACTTTGAGGGATACTTTGAGGGCTATTTTGAGGGATACTTTGAGGGATACTTTGCTATTGTCAGCCAAGTCACTGCCTGGGAGTTGTTGAAAAACAACCCCCGCATAACCAGCGGGGGGTATGCCTCCTTTGTATCAACACCGAACTTCTTCTCGAAGACCCGCTTCGCTTCCGTAAACAGCGGGGAGTTGTCGATCAGGCTGTAGCGACCGCTTTTGCACCTTTTGAAGAGAGAGTTGATTATGGTTGTTCTGAATGACCTGGGGCTCTCCTTCTTCTCGGCCTCCTTTTCGTAGAGGTCGAGCACGTAGGGCGGCAGGGACCCGGCGAGTTTCATCGCCTTGAACTTCTCGGCCTTGCCCTTGTCCCGCTTGGCCTCCTTGTTGCGGGCACCATCCTCCTGGCCGGAGGCCGCATCTTCCTCGAAGATATTTTCAGTCTCCATTGAGCCCTTCTTCACAGTGTTCACGGATTCCTGCAACGAGGCGGCAGCCGGCCTCTTCTTGGCAGCCTTTCCGGAGGCTCCCTTGCCCTTGCTAAGCTGTGTCTTCTTCTTCCCGACGATCATGTTCTTGACATTCTTGACCTTGGTCACGGCCACTTCGGCACCATTCGGCTTGCTGCTGCTGGAGCGAGCCGCGGGCTTCCTCAAAACGGCCATGATTCTTCTTCTCGAAGAATGTCACTGTAGGACCGGACACGGAAGGAAGGCAGGTGCAGCCTGTCGGTGCAAAGCAAAAGCTATATGCAGGCACGAAATGTATTCGTCAATTGGGGCCAGCAACCTACAAAGTGATGTCCATGGTTCTTTGGAACTCGGGTTTCTGAATCCGAATAGTTCAACAAACTTAGCACAAACTGTCGATACACGAGCACGAAATCTATAAGTACAAACCAGAACTTTACTCGAAACTTCCTCGAAACTTCGACCTAGCAACTCGAACTTTACTCGAAGTTTCCTCGAAACTTCGAGTTAGCAACTCGAAGTTTAACTCGAAGTTTGAAAGGGGCTAACTCGAAGTTTCTATATGTACATGTTACAAAACCCAGGTAAATGACACATCGCAACTCGAAGTTTCGAGTTAGGCCTCTTAAACTTCGACCAAACTTCGACCAAACTTCGAACAACCTAACTCGAAGTTTCGAGGAAACTTCGAGTAAACTTCGAGTTAGCAACTCGAAGTTTCGAGGAAACTTCGAGTAAAGTTCGGGTTGGTTCTTCGAAGTTTCGATGGAATTTCGGGTAGGTTTCTGTCTTGGTACCTCTAGTCTTTTGTGAATTTAAGTATTAAGCCATTGAGCGAATCGTAGGTGTCGTTCGACGAAACAACTCGGAATGTGCATGCCCGGACACCGAACTAGTGCTGCAAAACTCTCAAGTAAACTCTCAGAAGCACAAGAAGTCATGGTATTATGTGCATGCCCGGACACCGAAACATGTCTCATCTGACTGCTCTCTCAGCAACAAAAAACCCTCAGAAGCACAGGCATCCATCTCAACTTTTTTCCTCGTCGTGGCTCGCCACCACGGATCACAGATGTGATCTGCTAAGGTCT